CAAATTTGATGTAGGAGTTAAGGGGTTAACAGAGGTGGGGTCTACAAACATGTTATGGAAATTCACAAAATGGGCAGAAATTTTTATTCTTTGATGTGGTTTCTCAGCAAGCCCCTCAGCAGCCTGGTGTTGCGGGACCGTGGGGTGCACCAGCCCAGAACTATGGTATTCTGCCACCACCTTCCACTACAGTAGGTGTGGTTAGACCCATGGGTCAGTCTCAGGTGGCTGGCATGATGCCCCCCATTTATATGGGTGCAGGGCAGATGAACCGAATGCCATTCCAAGCCATGTCTCCTGGCACAATGTCCATGGGGCCAAGGCCAGGACCACTGAGTATGGGTGTCAGTAGCTTTACCATGCCAACTGCTGGTTCATTACCTCGTGGGAATCTCCCTGCAGCAGGAGGTAGGAAGGCAGAAGAGCAGGCAAGGGCGCCAAGTGCGTTGGACTTACTTGGTCAAGAGTTACTACAGACCCAGAAGCAGCAGCAGAAGCAGAAACAAACTGTCGCTCCTCTGCAAGAGAAACCTGCACCTGAGCAGCAGCAGGCAGCAGCCCCTACAGCTGACAGTCTGTTGTCGTTAGGAATAGAGCCAAGCCCTTCAACCCTCCCTGTCAGTGTTGGTTCATCTTCATCTGCCGCTTTTCCTTCAGTACCTTCTCCACCAAAGCCAACCCCTCCGCCCTCTCTAGACAATGTCTTTGTTCCTTTAGATACTATTACACCAGGTAAGCAACACCAGTGAGGCAAGATCTTAGGATACTTGGCGTTTGTTTTTAATCCGAGAGCACGTGAATTGTTTTAACCCTCTATCAATATCCACCATCAGTAAGCATATTCTCCAGAATTCATTTTACAATCGAAGCTTCTTACGTTGACGATCGTTTCCGTTATTCTCGTGATGTTAATGAATGATTCAGCAGTATTACTGGAAGAAGAAATTGCATGCTGGTCACTCTCAGAGTTTAAAGGGTTGAGTTCAGTGCAAGTTGCTTCTTTGTTTTTTGTTTTCTATCCTTTTGCTTTGATTTTAACCTGATAAGTCTACGTGGCGTAAGGAATTGTAATTTCATCGGTTCATTTATTTGGCCACTAAAAGCATTTACTAATAACATTCACGTATTTCTTTTCTTTTTTTGTTTTCGTATTTTCTTAATCTAGGAAGCCATCCACCACTAACAGTTCTTGATAAAAACAGCATCAAATTAATTTTTCACTTTGCTAAGGTACGTAGAGAATATTCGTACTATATCGATTTTTAATTTCAAGACGAAGTAAGCTTTTGCTTTCAGTTTTGTGTTTGGAGGCAAAGACTTGTAACTTAGTTAAGCAAAAGTTTGAGCTCATCTGAATTAAACTACAGTGATGGCAGTAGCGAAATCTCTCCACTCATTAGATTTGAACATCAGCGGTTCTTAGGCTAACTGTTTTTGTCCTTTAATTCACAGACGAGCGCAGAGTTGGCCAGGAAAGACTTACTGGTTGTTGTGATTTCCACTATGAGCTCACTATCATCTGCAGTTAAAAATTTCGTTTTCCAGGCAGCAGTACCAAAGGTAAATCCCTTCTAAGTGTTCTGTCTTTTTTGTCATTTTGGCATACGATGTTTTTTGGTGTAGCCATCCTTTTCTCGCTAAACGCTCGGGTTCGAGAGCTGGTGAGATACTTCATGTTATTTCCTAGGGTCTCGCTCACGCGCGTTAGTGAAGCTGCTTCTCAGTAACACAGCGGTTAGACGTAGGGCGTACGCGAGGGGAGCAATTTTGGCCGCCCACGCGCCATTTTCCCGCGCAAATTTCAAAGGAAAACACAAGAAACAACCGCTGTCTGGCATAAAAAAACGCGAAATAAATTTGGAACGTTCATAGAAATCTGTAAACAAAAGTAGGGGAGAGGAAAATTCGAGACTCTGCAAAAACAAAGCTCAATAACGTATGGGTATCCTATTGAATTACTCTTCTTTACCAAAGGGTTGTACGTTTTTTACACAATAACTTAGTGGCTTGTGTGGTGTTTGTAACTCGCATGAGACAACTTAGTTCTGACACCCTAAAAGCATAACACTAAGTCATTACAACGTTTGCACATGCGCAGGCCTTTTTTTAATTCCTTTTTTTTTTAATCCGCAAGTAAGTATTCAAAATAACTCTTTTTCTCGCTTCTACGTTTCGGCAGCTTAAACAGTTGAAGTATTCAGCAGTCTCAAAAAAATGTTGTGTTTTTCAGACAATGAAGGTGAAGCTCCAACCTCCATCTGGCAGCGAGTTGCCAGCATATAATCCTATCCTTCCTCCGTCAGCCATTACACAAGTTATGTTGATTGCCAATCCAGCAAAGGTGCGTCAACTTAGGTTTTAGACACTGCATAGATTCAAGCTTTTATTTCATTTTTTTTTTTAATTGCACATGTTTTCGCTTCACTATTTGTTTAGGCCGTGGTAATTTGTTAATTCTCTGTGGCCGATGCGCAAGACAATATGCTTTTGATATGACGGATGAGCCCTTACACCTTAACATCAGTATACATACAATTCTCCTTACCCCTCCTTATACGTTTCTTGAGATGCTGACAAGGAGAATTTGTTTATCAATCAACAGCTTCTTAGAGGTCAAACGTTTAACCATGTGGCCGATGCAAAAAGCAGAATATGATGGAAAAATGTTTTGAAAAGTTGATTATTTCAGCTTCGGGGAAAATATCTTTTTTCATTTGTGGTAATAAGTTTATATTAACTGAGCGTGAGGGCCATTCTGGGTAATATTGGCCGAGGTCGTTCAAGAACGACTGAGGACCAGTATTTCCCAGTCAGCTCAAGCAAGCGGGGTCAGTAAGTAGTTTATTATTAGGCACTTACTCCTGGCTTGTTTATTGTGGAACTTGCGGGCTTTAGCAAACAGAATGACACGGTTTATGATCATTTTTAGTGGAAACGGTCCATCTAGCAAAATATGGACCAATTAAGAGCCAATCAGAAGGCTCGGATTTCCCTCAGGACTACCTTGCCACACAATGAATAAACATATTTCATTATTATTTATGCTTTTATTGACAGGAAAAGATCAGATTAAAGTACAAAGTAAGTTATCAAGTTGATGGCACTCCCATGACGGAAACTGGCGAGGTGGACAGCTTCCCTATTGATGTTCAAGGATAAATCGAATGATGATTTCAAGCCTCTGCTTGCGATGAGTATTGATAATAGGACGGGATGGCGTCCAGTTCTGTCTGTAATTATTAGAGTAACTTGCGGGAGTCCGATTTTTCCAAAACGAGTATGATTACAGACAGAATTGGACTACAAGTAGTCCTGTTACCAATGAATCAAAACTATGACAAAATTTGAGAAACATACCAGCTATCGGTGACACGTTTTATTCAGAAAAACAGCAGTTAGCTCTGCGAAATGAACGGCAACAGCGCTCGCGTGCATGAAGGGTACTGTCCAATTAAACAGGCATGACGCGTACACTGTTCAAGCACTCCGTGCGCTGCCCAATTTGTGTTCAAATCAGGCGGATGGCAGCCAATCACGTTCGAGAATTTTGTTGCAGTTTTGATCTAGACAGTAGTTAAATTCAATGAGGAAGACTTGTTCGTGACTGTTAAAAATTTAAACCCAAGCTTCTAAAGTAAAATTATATCACAAACGGTATGCAACACTC